TTATTATAATTTTCTTTAAAAATTTATTATTGTATAATTGTGTTCTATTACTATATTCGTTTTTTATTATATTCCACGATACTTTCCCTATACTTTTCGCACGTAGAATTTGTTTATCATTATGGTGTCTCAGAGCCATATTCAAACAGGGTCGCAAAATTTTTGAGTATAATCTATATTTTTTCTTCTTTTCATTACTTTTTGCCGTGTAGTATTGATAACGCAGTATCCCTTTGGTTTTACAGCTTTTTATAATGCGCTTGGTAATCCATTTTGGTTTTCTATAAATATAATGGTTTTCTATAATTTTCAAATAAATATTTGAAAATTTAAAAATTTACATTTAACGAAATCTCCAGGCCCAGACATCATTCCCGCAATATTAATAGTTAACTGTGCATCGAGTCTAGTTCTTCCTCTGTCTATGCTGTACCGCCGCCCTTTTTCTGAAGGCATCGTCCTAAGCATCTGGAAGTCTGCCTTCATCATTCCCATTCACAAAATGCTTCAAAATGCTACGTGAGTCTCGTACTCGAAAACCCAAACATATTACATTAATACACATTTTATAATGCTTCGCTAACTAGAGTAGACTCGATTAAAGATTTAGGGGTAACTTTTGATAGTAAATTGTTGTTTGATCAGCATATTGATAAAACAATATGAGTGTAACGGTATGAGTGTACGGCGCAATATCGAGCCTGTATATTTCTGCCAGACTATGAGACTAGACTGTCGCAAATTTCACTACTCTTCTAACTAACATAGCAAACGGCACTGTCGATTGCCCAGAACTCCTTGAACAAATAGGACTACGCTCAAGCAAGGTTGCACTGAGAAATTCTGTCCCACTTTACGTTCCTAGGGTTAGGACAAATTATAGACAAAATGCATTTTTAAATAGAGCGTCTCGCTCATTTAACTCCTTAGTTAATAGTTATGGTGAGGTGGACTTGTTCAAAACCAGTATAAGTAAACTAAAACGTTTACTCAGTGATATGTTTTTTCTTCAAATATGTAGATACTATAACTGTTTACCCCTTACAGCACAGAATGATACGATCGTGTGTTCAACTTTGAAAAAAATTGGGTATAAAAGTATTCAATTTACCACGTCGGATCAACACCGATCGTTTGTGCATTCGATCAATATCCGCTGTTAAAGCAGTGCGGCCGTGTTCTAGGGTTACACACCTGTGCCGAGAGCGATAAGTGTGTAACCCTAGAACTAAAAAAGAATGTGTACTTGTCGGACGGCAGGACGAAAAGCAAGATTTTTTCATTTCATTATTTCGTGTTTTCTGACCTAATGGTGTATTTTCTTATTAAGTATATGTTATATTTTACATAATTTTTTTTTGTTTTTAGGGACGTTAACATGCGATTTGGTTGCACAAATCATCGAAAACGTTGACAAATCGCAGTTAGGTGAATCTGACCTTGAACATTGTGAACAGGAGATAGAAAGTGATAGTGACTCTTCACTGTCACGTTCTATCGTTATTGCTGTTGCGTTGCTGTTGCTGTTGTTGCTGTTGCTGTTGCTGTTGCTGTTGCTGTTGCTGTTGCTGTTGCTATTGCTGTTGCTGTTGCTGTTGCTATTGCTGTTGCTGTTGCTGTTCCCGTTACTATTACTATTATTATATTTATTTTAAACTATTATTATTATTATTATTTACTGTTACTGTTATTATTATTATTATTTATATTATTTATAATAATAATAATGATGATGATGACGATGACGATGACGATGACGATGACGATGACGATGACGATGGCGATGGCGATGGCGATGGCGATGGCGATGGCGATGGCGATGGCGATGACGATGACGATGACGATGACGATGACGATAATATTTTTTATGGGCGCCTGAAAAATGTGCTAAACAGCTATTTGTCAGGCGTTAATAAGATCCGAAGTTATAACTCCTGGGTCATGCCTGTTCTGATGTACACATTTGGCGTGCTCAAATGGACTCAGACGGAATTAGACGCTCTGGATAGACGAGTCCGCACGACGATGATCTCTCACCGAATGCATCATCCGAGATCGTCAGTTATGTGATTATATGTCCCGCGGAAGTGTGGAGCTTAGGTTAGGTGTGGGACCTATTAAGTGTCAAAACCATGCACAACCGCTAGATATCCAATCTCAAAAACTACTTTTTGACGATGACGGATGACGTAATTCGTGGGGACGTTGTCACATGTGATAAAGGGCTAACTCCCTTATCGTTGGCCAAAGAGGAATGGCGACACCCGGTGGTGCTTAGCACCTCTGACTGCGAGTCCGTATGGAAAGAGAAGGAGCTCCATGGGAGGTTCTTCAAGGTACATTGGCTGCGTTTCGGAGACCTCTCTGGGAAAACAGAAAGTTTTGTCTGTGCAATACAGGATCAGGTTATCAAGACGCGAAACTATCGGAAATATATCCTAAAGGACGGCACAGTAGACATTTGTCGTGCATGTGACTGTCCGGAGAGTCACTTAGGCATATTGTTTCCGGTTGTTCCGCTATTGCTAACACTGAGTACTTGCACAGACACAACCAGGCAGCCAAAATATTACCCCAAGAGCTCACTCTCAAGTACGGACTAGTGCAACAGAGGTTGCCATATTACAAGTAAGTATTCACCGGAGCCAATACACGAAGATGACCGCACCAAAATCTATTGGGATCGATCAATTATCACGGACAGGACTATTATTGCGAATAAGCCTGATATTGTGATATTGGATCGATCGCAGTCGCGGGTATTTCTTGTGGACGTCACCATCCCGCATGACGACGGTCTCGTGAGAGCTGAAACCGAGAAACGCCGGAAGTATCTCGACCTGGCGCACGAGATCACTGACATGTGGGATGTGGCCTCCACTGAAATAATCCCAATTGTTTTGTCCGCAAATGGGTTAATTCTAGTCAGCCATTCTAACAGCTTGAGGCGGTTGGGGGATGCGAAATTTAGAAGTGGAACAACTGTGAAAAACAGACAGCGTCACTAGTAAAATTTAATGTCCCCTTGGCTGCTCTAAACTTTAGTTTGGTTAATTGTCAGATTCTGAGAAATCTAAATAAATAGGCACTAAGGCACTATTTACATTTCTGTGGTCAGATCGGAAAAATTAGGACGACGTAAATTAGTAGCAGCGTTTTACAATTTTTTTTTTCACACGATAGTAAGTAACTAAATCCATAAATCATTTTTGGAGTTAATTCTTGAAACTAGAGATGGTTGAGCTAGAAAATTTTCTATTTTATTACAGCATTATTTGATTATTTGCACAGGTTGTTTGCTATAGGTACATTTGATGATGGGTGGTTTTAATCCGTTTTGACAGTGCCAACCTGTGCCAACATATAGTGCCGCGAAGATTTGGTTTACTTACATGTTTGGTAGGTAGTATTTTATTAAGTGTTTTCTTGATGTATTGTTTTTCTAATAAGGCTGCCAGGTTCAACATTGACCAAAACTACTAAGTAAATAAAGACTTAAAAAAACTAACTCCTCATTGCACCACCGGCAAGAACCCAGAACATATGATTTTCGGACATCAGCTGCAATTTTGTATTCTTGATAAAACACGGCAAAATTAAAAAGCTCTATAGCATACATAAATAAGTGCCAACATAAATTCAGACGGTCTAACGCTATGTTTCAAATAGGAGGACAGAGTGTTTGTACTAGACCTGTGTCAGTCGATCATTTTTGATAACCCGGTTCGATCATGACCCATGCGTAATGTGATCGGGTCGATTCGATCGTTATGTTTGATATTTTAGCGGGTTACCCGTCTCTCATGATACTTTGTTCTCTCCTGCTAATGGGTAATGTGTCTACAGTTAAATGCATCATTGATAAACCACACTTAGGACATTAAAATTTCCTTCTAGGAAAAGAAACGGTGTTACAAAACAAAAATACATAACAAAAAAAAATGAGCATTCTAAATGACAAATTTATTATTCATTAATATTTTAATATTAGCTGGTGCACTCTTAAATAAACACAACATACCGAAAAACAGATTAAACTTACAAAATTACCACATAATGAACACTACTCCACGGAGCAATTAGGACGTTAACCCGGACCCGTTACCCGTTGACCCGTTGACTCGTTGATCGATTGCTTGACTTTTTGGTTCGATCGAATGAAGGTTCTTTAGAACGAAGGTTCTATCAAACGAATGCTCTATCGAACCAATGTTCGACGCAAACGAAGAGAGAGAAGGCGAACCGTGTCGTCCAAAGTCCCCCACTTTACGTGAGAGTGAACGAGACAACAATAATATTGTGAATTGTTGAATAATCTCTAAAATTATAGAGATAAAGTCGAATATTGCGCGTATGACGCATGAAACTCTAAAATCATCAGGTTATTTAGAAGCTAGTAACCGGGTTATCGGGTCACAGGCGCTGTTCGAATTATTTTGATTCGATCGAACACGATCGACACACATCTAGTTTGTACCCGCCAGTCATGGGTCGTATGCTGCCATAATTATCAAGGCTTATGTATAGTTCCTACAATGGGGAGTCGTGGACATACCCGATTATCGGGTAGAAAAGAGATAACAATGCCGATCACGTACGTTCACGCTGATCATATCAGCTCTATTTCTACTAATAGCTCTCTCAACTACCGTCTGAGGAAATATAATATTACAATAGCAAACCCGAGAATATCCCGCGTTCATCTGAAAACCTTTTGAGAAACATTGAAGGTTCCCAGCACATCCTTGTACCTACAATTATGTACCATCAAACATCATCAAATCAACCAATGAACTTAAATTGCCATCAAGTCTTCATGCAGGATGGTGCTTGTCGTTTTTCCACCATAACAAGGAAAAAAATTTAATACTTCTACATTAAGAGGCTGTATGGTAGAACGTTTGCCTACCCAAATAAATGAGAGGAAATTTAAAAAAAAAGATGTTTTCGAGCTAGGCTATATAGCTATATAGCTTGTTTCTGGGGAATCGGTATTGTAAACCCTTGTAAAAAAAGTAAATTTGGCAATTGTATGGACCCTGAACAGAAAAATATTCTTTAGACTGAAGCCTTTTGCTATGAATTCGGTATGACTTCTCGGAGAAAGTTTTTTCTGTTCGAGCCTTTTAAGGTTACGGAAGTTCAGTGCCGTGGTTCAGAAATTCCTAGACCTCGTAGTGGACACAGAATAGCTTGTGACGATGTGAACGTTTATTGCTTTGGCGGCTACAATCCTGTACCTTCAGAACCGGTGAACCGTACGGATAATCCGACATGGACACCGGCGCGACCGCTATTTAGAGAACTTTGGAGTTTTTCAATAGCCACACAAAAATGGAAACAGCATAGGGTAGTAGAGAATATGCCCGAGGAATTGGCGTCAAACGCGATGTGTATGAATGGGCGTTATTTAATGGTAAGTGTGTTCGTAAGTTTTGTTTTAAAAAGATTAGTTTCACTTGTTGCAAAAATTTAACACGACATATGGCTGAATGGCTAATTAATTTATAAAACTGTTGCAGATATTCGGTGGTACAGGTGCTCCCTTTGGCAACAAGTGTAGTAATGATGTAATTGTGTGGAAGACATCCATTGGAGATGCAAAGCTTCAAATCTTAGATGTGTCGGGCACTAGACCGCCTGGGCAATACGGTCAAGCCATATTTTGCAATGATGGGTACTTTTACTCAATAGGAGGCACTGATGGATTTGCTTACAATTGTGATGTTTACAGGTTAGTCTGCAAAGGCATTGATTATTTCATCATATGTCTAGTACACTTCAATAATTGGCGAAATTAAATATTTTTGCTCATAACAGGTTAGACCTTCGGACGTTAATATGGGAGCCTGTATATATCGGAACGGGTCAAGAAGGGGTGCCATTTGGCAGATATCGTCATGAAGTAGCCAAAGTTAGTAACAAAGTCTACATAATTGGTGGTGGGACATGGGAATGGGCATTTGAACTTATGGAAATACCAGTTTTTGATTTAGAAAGTAACACTTGGACAATTGTTGTGCCTAAAGCAGATGATAGTCTGACAAATACATTGGGACCTTTGCCTCGGAAATGCCATAGTGCAGTTCAAGTGGATGCGCCTGATGGGACACAAGTGTTTGTGGCTGGAGGTTCAGATGGGCAAGCAGTTTTTGAAGATGTTTGGAGGTTACATGTGCCTACAATGCAATGGACGCTTATGCAAAAGACAGTTTTGCCTAATCCCTTATACTTCCATTCATCTACAATTACATCATATGGGTGTATGTATGTGTTTGGAGGCATTGAACCAAAGGAGAATGCTGCTAGTAGGAATAATATTTTGTATAAAGTATGGTTATGTATACCAAAACTCAGTGAGATATGTTGGGAGGCTCTCCTCTATTTCCATCCATATCTGGATCAAGTAGACAGAAAAACTCTCCTGAATATCGGTGTTCCTAGACATTTTATAGATAGAATACATCCGCAATAAAGAAATGTGTTCTCTGCAATTATTTTGTGGAATGGTTCAAGACTGGTGTGCATTTATGCATAGACATACTGTTTTTGCTTGGTATATTGAAATGCTTTTCATGCAAATATTGTATTTTTTGTTTTGTAAAAATAAATAACTTTCTTGAAGCATAATATCAATTATGATTTTAGTGTTTTATGTGTATCGTTGTATTTTTTAGGACACCAAAAATTGTATATAATATGTATTGTAAAATGCTGGTGTTAGACATTATTACTAAATGCATTATATGAACGATCTGAAATAAATGTGTCTTTATTTTGTAATTTAATAATTTTATTTATGAATTCAGCCACAGGACTCAGCAAACATATTTTTTTCAAAAACTGGAATTTGAATACTGTATTTATGATGCAAGGTTCAATTTTCAATATAGAATTTTGAAAGGTAGTATGTTTTAAGGTGTGTGTTGAAACAGTGAAAAACACACCGTAAAATGTTTGAAAATGTTGTAACATTTGGCTAATTTCAAGAATTTCTTTTTCGTATCTCTGACATATGTAAGTTTTGTTCAAAAGTAGAAGTTATGTAGTTATAATGGAATATTTTAAATGAAATATAATATTATGTGTAAAGTTGTCTGCAACAAGTGCCGGCCGGCAAACGGCGACCGCATCGGCGTAGAGCGCGCTTCCCGAGACTCGCGCTCGTAGGATAGGACGCGACACTCGCGGTTTCGCGTTAATCGTCCATCCACGACGCGCTGCAGTGCCGGGACGCCACTCGTGCGGGACACGCTCGTTTCAAGTTCAACTAACAAACGGACGGACACTCGCGACACTTTGCGTATATCAAACTACATACTTTGAAAATTTAATTAAATTTCATACATCACGTGAAAACTTACAAAACTTTTTCATCAAATTAATTAAAAAATGTTTTATCAAACTTATAAACTTTTGAAAATTATTTTACATGCGAATGGATACCAGTGCAATGTTACTGAAAATCATTTAATGTAAGTAGTTATAAAAACTTCTGAATAATGGATGTGGAGTCACTGTTAAGGGAAGGGTCAGTGCGGCATGACTTTACACTACGGTCGGCATAGTTACGTAGCGAATTCGACTTTAATTTGTAAGAAATTTGTGCGTCAATATGGCTGATGCCGATAACATGACGACATCGACGGTGATGTCGGTGCCCCACCGGTCGCCAACACCTGAGCTGCATGCGGTGTATACCTCTCTTGAACTTCTGGTGGCTTTAGTAGCGGTGATAGGAAATGCAATGGTGATACATGTGTTTCGTGCCGACCGTAGACTACGAAGGCGAACAAACTATTACATAGTGTCATTAGCCGTTGCGGATTTCCTAGTTGGCCTTCTCGGAATACCGTTCGCTATCTTGGCTTCAGTCGGCCTACCAAGGAACCTACACGCATGTTTGTTTACGGTATCGTTGCTGGTTATGCTATGTACCATCAGCATCTTCTGCCTGGTAGCGGTGTCTGTGGACCGTTACTGGGCAATATTACATCCCATGTGCTACTCGAGGAACGTGCGCACGAAAACTGCTATCGGTAAGTTCTACTAAACCATTGATAGTTTACATTATTTAAACATAACACAGATCACACAAGACGAAAATTTTATACATCTTGACACGTCATTAATATCGTTTAGTAAAGGTCAGCCTGCAGTTACCATTTTTATTGTTTTTTTATAGGCACAAGAACCACATTATTATTTGAATACAATAGAGGCAAATCCTTAAATGAAATTTATTAATTTAAAACAATGTCTACTTTATTACATAATTCAACATTGTTATGAGAGATGTGTAACCAGATTAAACGATTTTAGGAGATCGTTTATCTGACTGTGATGCCTGAGAGGTACCTACGACTATTTTTAAGACCTATATTTGTATGTCACTACTTTCTGAGGTTGAATAGCTTATCACCTACACGACAACGATGTGTCATAGGCAGTTATACTAACGTGTTCAAACGTTATGATGCATCATACTAGACTTCCTGCTAGAACATTTCTGCCAGTTTAGTCTTAGTGTTCAACAATCACGTACTTCTGTATTTATCCTTATTATTACTATCCTTCTGTATTTATACTCTTTCTGCTTTTGTGAAGGAAATTTCCTACGGAAAATTTATTATGCAATTTGTGATATTCGGGATCACCACAGCTATGAACGCTGGAATCGGCTTGAGCCGGTCAGGAAAAGCTTTACGTCAATACATTAAAAGGGACAAAGATGATTCAAAACTTATAACGTCTTATTCGCTCTTATATGGACTCTCGGCTCTCGGCGCCCTGCGCTTTCAATATAATAACGGCTTCAGGATGCTGTTGGGGCTACCGCGATACTGTAGCGCATCTTCCATGTTTGTTCAAGCGGGAGTAGGTGACTTCTTTGCTGTTATGCGAAAAAAAACGGCGTCAGTACTCTCTAGACTGCGTTCTTGTACTAACAGCATGGAAAACGTTTGCGGCTAAGGTGGATGCGTCGATGCTTCGTCATTTAATCCGGGTTCTGGTGAGGTTATTTGGTAGTCGCCATCTCGAGCGTAATAATATGTGTTAAATGATTTATTTATCATTATTATTATTAATGCAATTCTGTGTCGATAAATGTAGCGACTCCCTTCTCCTACAAATAATGGTCTCTTCAAATTTATTACGTAGGTACTTTACGTTATCTGCCTGTCAAATTGCCACTGATAATTGCGGTCGGTTGCTCTTAACAAGGGTCATACTATATTTTCCCGTCTATCCTCTTCCTTTAATGAAATTCTAAATGTTTCCGTATCTAACCTTGTAAGATAAAGTTTCTTCAAGACTGCTAAAGTCATAGGAGTTAATAGTTACCTACTCTTACGAAAAATATAGGAAGAAGACATTACTTTAGTAATTAATGTATCATTACCTTACTTGTGGGTTGCATGTGTTGTTTTCCCGGATTGGTATGTGACGCATATTGTGATATTAAATTGCGTTAATGGGTATTAACGCTATTTTATATCACACACAGAACGGCTGTTCTCCAGATTATGCACAATGCGACATTAAAAGGTAATTCATTTAATATTGCCCGCGTAGTGGACTCTACATTTGCGTAAATTAGTTTGGTAAGAATTAGGTACACGAATTAAACATTTTCAAAGTAACTATCATATTAACAAATCTATTGTTTATTCAATCGCATTTTATATACGACTAATGGCGCAGGTTAAAAAAAAGCAATCGAATAACAATTTGAGGTCGTGGCCAACGATGAATAGTCTCCAAATCGTTCAATCTCAAAATCAATACACTAATGCTCTCGCCACACAGAGGCGGCCGCGGAAGCGTTCCGGGCGCCGGACTTTTTGTAATTTACGAGTTCATATGAACCCTGCCACACTGAAACGCCCGGAACGCTTCCGCAGCCGCCTCTTTATGGCCAGAGCATTAAAGAAACGACGAAGAGTAGACGGTTATACGTTCAAATACGCTAATAGTAATCCATTGTAATAATAGACGGTAAATAAAGAAATTATTTTTTTTTAAACCTCGATATAAAACAGTGTATTCTATAAAAAGTAATAAAAATATCATCGGAAAAGAAGCTGATGCACAGCTGAACGGATATTCATAAAACATAGCGAAGAACCATCGCGAGTAAATTAGCCTCAAAATAAAAACTGCCTTAAGATTTGTCCAGCCTTTAGGGAGCTACGATGCTACAAACAGACAACCCTACTGGGTTTCATATGTTTTTATATACATTCATCATCCATCATCATTCCCGATTCATCCCATAGTTTGCCACCCATAGACGTGGAATATTTTCTTCAAATTTAAATGGAACCAGTATTGGAGAGGTGCCTTCTTTCCAACAAAAAATATCATCAAACAAAATGTAAAATGTACCTATAGAGTAATCGCGTAACATACACACAAAAATAATACAGTCGAATTTAGAACCTCCTCCTTTTTTGAAGTCGGTTAAAAATTGAATCAACTTTTAAAACTCTTTTATGGATAACGTTTTGCTGTTTAGAACACTACGGCTTTAATAGGAAAGGGTGTAAAAAGTTAATGGTAGCAGTCTCACCAACTAATAGCATATGAGAGGTTTCTGCCTGCGGCAAATTAATTCGATTTAATTCCATTTGATGCTACATTGACCTCACCGCTATTGTTTTCTCGTCTTTGATTTTGTTAGTCTGCTTTAGTTTGTGATAAGTCTAATGTTCACGTTCAATTCTTGCAAGTAGTATTAGGCCCTTATTTACATATTCTTGATGATAAAATAAAAAATGTATTTTGTGTTTAGTGCTTAATTATGATAGCCACGAATACAAGACCTTATTAACCACCGGTTCATAACAGAGATCGCGGCTTATAACGGGGTCAACGGCTACCTATAATGGTGTCGCAGACGAATTGTATACTACGTTATACAAACAAAATGCTGAGTTCCAGGCAGAATGTTATTAAAGCTAAATAAAAGTATGCAGTTTTGACAAATTCCTTTACAATAAAATTTAGCGCGTCGTTTTGTCATCAAATGCATATTACTATGATCTAGTGCAGAGTTGACAATAAAGGGTTTACTAATTTTATACTAATTTTATTTTCGGAATAAAAAAAAGAAAAGGTAGAGAGTTCATATCACGGCATTCTTTATTAAACCACTGGTCACAATGTTTGCAAGCGACATAAGCAGCTAAATAAAATAATATAATTGACGTAACCATCTCTCAGTCCGTGTGCGTCAGTCCATCAGCAGGTCAGCTATACATGGACACTGGCGTCAAAGAACGTCACATCAACAACCAAGATCACTTCTACGTTGATATAATCTGTTTACACATTTTGGTAAATGTAGACTACCGTATAGGGACTTTACGACATTTCGGTTAAAAGTAAAGTGACTATGCGTCGTGTAGAGGTAGGTGCCTACAGCGTATTATAGGTACATTTCGACCGAAAGACATTTATATTACATGCATTTAAAAAATGTGAACGAGTAAGGGAATGCACAGTTTAAGTGTGTATGCTACACATCGAGTTTATATACTCGATGATGCTACATTGTCGATCTGATCGTCGCTTTCCATCAGGTTAGATGGAGGTCAAATGTGCACTTATTTACTTATAAAAAAGAATGATTTCAAATAAAGAATCGATGAGCGTAATCGTAGAAAACAGAAATGGTAACAATTGTCTATGCGTTTTAGTGATAGTGTTTAACCTATTTGTATACGCTATTAAAACTAAAAGTTCGTATCAGAGCACTTAATGAAGAAATCCTTGACTGACATCGCATTTAAAGCCCAAAGTTTAAGTTCTTCGATACCAAGCGAGTGAACATATCTCCTCGTAAATTCCGAGACTACAGATATAGGTAACCACTTTTCCACGTTGAAACTTCTCTTGTCATCGTTTATATCCGTACATTGTTACCTTAATGGTCTTTTTGAGAATTTCAAGGTGTTTGGCACATTAATATAATTTAGTGTCCACAATTAACTCGTGTAAACACCGGATTATGTACGATTAAGAACAGTTTTTACAGAATTGCTACATATTCTGTGAAATGTGCAACTGCTTTTCACAGTAATATATTGATAGGTATCTACTGATGTTCGTTTTTGTGTTAGCACCTCTAAAGAAATTATATTTGAAATTTCTCCAGTTCCCAGGTTTTCGGAATTTTTACACGTTGGTAATGGGTAATTTTCATGTCAATTTTCTCTAATTTCTGTGGCAATTTTTATTATTTAAATATTCTAGAAGATTAACGTGAAGTACTTATTATATAATATTCGAGTGCTGTATTCTGAAACGTTATTTAATATTTTACAATAATATTCTCGAATATCTAAATAATAAATATTGCCACCGAAATTAGGTACAGAAATCTAACCTGAAAATTACCCAAAGGAACTATTTTTTCCGATCTAAATCGAGTGTGTTTGTTTTTTTCCAACAATCTAACGTTTATCACCCTTTACAGATCCCATGGTCACGACTGACTGAGATTACAGTCACCAACCAAGAAATATACGCAATTTGGTTTCTAAAAAAGGTTGATTCCCAATCAATATACTTTATGTGGTTAAAAACAAAGTTTAATATACTCAACAGTGGACTACATCGTTTACCCAGTTAGGTGCACTTAGATACATAATAATTATTCATTCTCAGTCTAGAGCTAGAGCGCTATAAATATTTGTGGTTAGTTAACAATAGAATAATATAAAGTGTTAAGTAACATAGACACAACGTAAATAAAAAAGTAAGTAAGTGGGCATTGCTACCTACGATTACTTCATTGTGCCTAGGTACATGCTTTAATTTTGCTCTCTAGAAGTTTAGAAAACGCAAAAAAATACGAGAAATATTTGTAATAATAATCAATCTTTAGTCAATAAAAACAGATATTAAAAACAACATCATAAATTTACTACCCAAAACACAGCACTAGGCTTTGTCAATAGGTACTATAACACAAAAACTGGGGTTTATAAGAGGTTTCGTAAAAAAATCCTAAACTAAAAAATCCCGCCCTGTA